TCATAACGTAAAATAGGATGAAGATAGAAGTAAATAAGATAATGAATCCTGCATTTTTATTTGGTACAGCTTTTAACATAGCATATTGGCATAAGAAATACCATTCAGGTACTATATGTAAAGGAGTAAGTAATCCACATGCTTCTAATGCATTATCTGGATGTGAGAAAGAAGAGAAGCCGAAATGAATTTGAAGAAGATATAGATAGAGAATTAATATCTTTCCATAGAAATCTTTACTAATAATGAAAGGAAAAATGCTATTTTATTATTAGTGGAATCCCTTAAAGGATTATTAGAAGATAGAAAATGTAGATTAAACATATGAAAAAGAAGAAAAGCACAAAGAAGAAATGAAAATAGAAAATGAAAGACAAAGAACCTCTTTAATGTTGGATTGTAAATATAATGTCCTCCACAAAGCCATTCTATTAAAGATGGAAATGGAGATAATAAATTTGCAATGACTGTAACTCCTCATAAACTCATTTGTCCTAAAGGTAAAACATAACCCATAAATGCTGTTCCCATTAAGAAGAAGTAAATAATAATTCCACAAAATCAAGTATTTGGATTATAAAAGTATGAAGCATAAGATATAGCTCTTCCAAGATGAAGAAATATAAAAAGAAAGACAAATGATACACCATTAGAATGAAGATAACGTAAACACCATCCATAATACATTTCTCTAATTAGATTACACGACAACCTAACCCTCAACACCATTTAAAGTCCTAACTCCCCACTTCTAACCTCTTAACACCAACTAAAATACTAACTCCCACTTTCTAAGCTTTGACATCTAAACCCCAGACCCTAAACCCTAGACCCTAAACTCTAAACCCTAAACTCTGAATCCTAAACCCTTAACCCTAAAACCCTAAAACACTAAACCGATCTAAGCTCCTGGCTCGGTTGCGGCGTAGATGCTGTCTGGGTGTTCGCCGGAGAATGCGAGTGCAGTTGGCCTCAGGGGGTGGGCGTCTCAAGCCTACAGATCCACCCTGTCTGGAGGAAGGTTTTAGGGTTTATCGTTCAGGGTTCAGGGTTCAGGGTTTAGGGTGTAGGGTGGGCGTAGGGTTTAGGGTTTAGGGTTTAGGGTTTAGGGTTTAGGGTTTAGGGTTTAGGGTTTAGGGTTTAGGGTTTAGGGTTTAGGGCTTAGGGTTTGCAAAGTTTGGGGTGCAGGGTTTGGGGTTGGGATCTTCGCCCTTATACTACGCGTCCTTGACAAGGATTTTCAAAGGGATACTAGGGTTTAGGGTTCAGGGTTCAGGGTTTAGGGTTTAGTTCGGGTTTAGGGTTTAGGGTGGGCTTGGGGTTTAGGGTTTAGGGCTTAGGGTTTGCAAAGCTTGGGGTGTAGGGTTTGGGGTTGGGATGTTCGCCCTTATACTACGAGTCCTTGACAGGGATTATCATAGGGGGGTACTATAATCCCGGGAATTCCCTTGCAATAAGGACCCCAATAAGGTACACCCCCCCCCCCCCTAATTTCAGAAACCCCATATAAGCCCAAAGGCAGGTGCGACACAAATAAACCAAATTCTGAGCATGGGCATGTACAAATACAGAAAAAATCAGCAAGTACAAATGACAACACACAAGCAACCATATGCACCAACACAAACACCTATACCTTTTTGTACATTTGTCATGGTAGATACACCTGTATAACATGCACAAGCTGTGTGGCGAAGCTGTGGATGTGAGGCTTAAACCCTGGACCCAACTCCCCAAGCCCAAAAGCCCCAAACCCGAAGCCCCCCAGCCCTAAACCCTAAACCCTAAACCCTAAACCCTCAAACCCTCAAAGCTTGACTCAACCTGAACGCCTCACCCTTGCCACCATCTTTCCAGGGAATGTAGAAGCTACATGTTAGGAAGTGTAGGTGAAACATGACTCCTGATGAGGGCAATACAGGGCTTATCATTATATACTTTTGGGGGTTCTTAAGCAAGTAGTAAACCGTAAACCCTAAACCCCTAGGACTGTAGGTACAGAGGTCCTTAGAGTCCGGTGCCGTTGGATGAGGCAGCTGCCTGCCAATCTGCTCGAGGAACCAGTCGTACTGCCCTACCTGCAACATGCCGCCACGCAGGCCTAGTGCCCCTGCACCCTAAACCCTAAAACCCCGAAACCCTAGCCCTAAAACCTTAAACCCTAAACCCTACACCCTAAACTACAACCCTAAACTCCAAACCTAAACCCTAACCCTAAACCCTCAAAAGACAAAGGGGGTTCGGGGTTGGGACCTCTTCGGCATGAAGCCTGGTGAGGGTGTCCATTAGACGGAGACCGTAGTTGAGAACAGCGCTGGGTGACTGCTACGAGGCGCTTCATAGCAGAATGAATTCCTGTGCTCACTTAATGGCTTATAAATACGTGTAAATATGAAACTTAACAGCTTATAAGCCTGAGGGAACTCGCAGCTCTCCAAACCACTGGATACATGGTGCTGCCTAAACTCTAAACCCCAAACCTCAGACCCCAAAACCCCAAACCCCAAACCCTAAACCCTAAGCCCCAAGCCCTTGGACTTGTAGCAGGCACGCTCTGGATGACCCCTTGGTTGACGTCCCCAGGGCCTGCCTCGTCTGTGTACATGGCCGACCTTAGGGGTTTAGGGTTAGAGGTTTACGGTTGAGGGTCTGGGGTTCTAGGTTTTGGGGTTTAGGGTTAGAGGTTTACGGTTGAGGGTCTGGGATTAAGGGTCTTAGGGTTTTGGGTTAGGGGTTGAGGGTTGTGGGTTAGGGAGTTGAGATGACTTTCTGGGGCTTCGGCCTGCGAGCAAGAGAGGCAACAATGACAGGAAACAACTGGATCACGCCAGAAAGGTCGCACAGAAGATCGGTGACTTCTGCCTTCAAAAAAAACTCTGACCTAGTGGCTCGAAGTAGGGAATGAGGGAATCAGGCAAAAAAGGCCCCGGAAAATGAGGCAGTTGCAAGAGCTTTCGGTTGACGCGTGATGAACCACGTGGCGTCATGAAGGTCCTATACCAAGAGGGCGTTCATGGTGCTCACAGGGCAATAAGGAAAGACTCGTGCCCCGTAACCTCCCTACAAACGCATTCCGCCCGATCCCTTATAAAGGGCATGAAGGGGGATATCAGGCACCTTCCCTCCTTACTTACCAAGAACGAGTAAGATGGGGGTGTCCGAAATTATTGGTACCTTACTGGGGTCCTTACTATGAGGGAATCCTACTGTGAGGGGCCCCTGATTTTTCTTAAGCCCTAAACCCTAAAGCCCTAACCACCCGATGAAGGGCGATGTCTCTGAGTCTCCAGGCGTGGATGGCAGCCAGCTAAGGCACAGCGCAAGGAGGAGGCAGGGCCTCCTGGAAACGAGGGGCATTTTGTGATGAATCCCTAAACCCTACACCCTAAACCCTAAACCCTAAACTCTAGACCCACCCGGGTGGCTCCTTTCGTGCCCAGGTCTCCGCGCCATGGTTGGCAGTGTGGCGGCCTGAGCAACAGCTGGAATTTGTGGGCTTTTTAGGGGTTAGTTTTAGGGGTGTTTAAGAGGTTTAGGGGTTTTAGAATCTTTAAGGGTTCAATTAACGGGTTTTTAAGGGTTTCAGGGTTTTGAGGGTTTTAGGGTTTAGGCGTTTAGGTAGGGTTAGGATCCCTCATAGGGTTCTGGGCCATATCTAGTTTGGGGTCTCTATTGAGGGTTTAGGGGTCTCTATGGACAGGTTTAGGGGTTAGGGGTTTAGGGGTCTCTGTTTATCTATTCAGGGTTTAGGGTTTAGGGTTTAGGGTTTAGGGTTTAGGGCTTCCTGTAGATGCTTTTGTTCATGTTGGGAGTCTGCAGCTTCCTTGCGAGGTGAGGCGACAGAACAGCCCGCCTCTGATGCGCTGGAGGCCCTAAACCCTAAACCCTAAACCCTAAACCCTAAACCCTAAACCCTAAACCCTAAACCCTAAACCCTAAACCCTGAACCCTGAACCCTAAACCCTAAACCCTAAACCCTAAACCCTAAACCCTAAACCCTAAACCCTAAACCCTAAACCCTAGCCCTAAACCCTAAACCCTGAACCCTCGGGCTTAAAACCCTAAACCCTGAACCCCAAAACCCGAAATCTGAGAGCTGGGCTGCCACGCAGCCCGCTGAAGGCGCTCCCCGAGGTGCCGCGGTTACACTTTGCTTCGAGAGCTAGGGGAGGAGCGGCGTTTCGAGGAGATTTGGGGGGGTTTAGGGTTTAGGGTTTAGGGTTTAGGGTTTAGGGCAGTTTAGGGTTTAGGGTTTAGGGGGAGGAGCGGTGGTGCGGCGCAGGGTTTTTTTGCTTTTGGCTTGCTTGGGCTGCTTGGAAGGTTTGAGGGGGATTTGGGGGTTTAGGGTTTAGGGTTTAGGGTTTAGGGTTTAGGGTTTAGGGTTTAGGGTCAGGGAATATTTCGGGTTTGGGGGTTTTAGGGCTTCAGGGGCTTTAGGGCGCTTTGAGGTGTTTAAGGGGGTTTGGTTTGGGGGGGGGGGGGGGTGGGCTTTTTTCTGAGGCTTAAGTCACTCCGGAGGTCTGCACAAGATGTCAGGTGCGGCGAAATAGTGTTTATAGGGTTTAGGGTTTGCAAGGTTTACATGGGATGTAGGCTTTTACAAGGTTTAGGGCTTGCGGCTTAGAAACGTGAGTTCGGACGTGGTGTGGGCGGAGGGAGGCATCATGTCCTTGGCAACACAAGTACCTTTTTTGCCACATGTTGCGACCCGCGACGCCTGTACCAGCGCAACTTTAAATGAAATGCAACGACCCCGCCAACGCGGAGCAGCTGCCTGCAAAGCAAAGCCGAGAACCTGCCAGGCTTCGCCATAGCAGCACAGAGGCTCTGAGACAAACAAAGCCAACAATAGCGCAAAGCAAGCAGGCGACGAACTACACCACTACGTGATCTGAGTGCGAAAGCCTCGATTTCAGAGGAATCGCAGAAGTATGTTCTCACTCCCAACTTTTCTCATTCCTGAAAGCGGGTATTCCCTACCATCCTCTGAGGTGTGACCCTCACTCGATATTGAAGGTGCCGCACGCCTTCTCGCTTTCTTGCCTAGTTTGGCAGTGTGCAGTGTGCATGTCAGACAGGACCAGCGTTCTGACGCGTAAGGCTTGTGCCCTTGGCCAATCTATGCAATTATCATGACTCGACATATCTTGTTTCTTGAGTAAGCTATACAACGTGCTGTGCTCTGCATTGCGGCATTCCGCATAGAGCTATACGCATCTTTCCCTTGCACTTGCATCTTTCTTTGTCGTCGTTGTTGTCGTCGTCGGTGGCTGGTGCTGGTTCTGGTGTTGGTGTTATGATTTCTACTGATATGTCGAATGACATTCATTAGGATAATACTAGCAATATGCCGGTTCATCTCATGAGTAGAGTTATACATGCTACTGTTTTACTATGCTAATGTTTGGAATTTGGGGTTTGGGTGCGCAAGCTGGGAATGTAGCAAGAGAGGTTTTTGATCAACGACCCCCCGCCCCCCACCCCCCACAAGGCCCCAACCCCCAACACTAAACCCTAAACTTCTAGTATAGGGATCGGAAGAACTACTAATCGTATTCCCACATGGTCCCCTTGTACTTATTCTACAATGACCGCCCAAAACCCTATACTACAATGACCCCCAAAACCCTATTCTAATTATTAAGGCCCCTATATTAAACCCTAAACCCTAACGAGATCACGTGGGGCAAAAAGCTTCGCTAAGATCCTGCAACGCGCATGGCAACAGCCTGAAGATGCCGCACCTTCCAGGCGGAGACTGCGCCCCGACTCCCTATTCTCTCCCTAATTAAACCCTAAAACCCTAAAACCCTAACCCCTCTACTCTAAACCCAACCCAATCACTTTTGCAATTGCTATTCTTGTTCACACATATACATATGCATATGTATATATGAATATATGCTCTTTCATTAACTTGTTCATTCATTTATTGAGGCATTTTTTGATTTACCGACTACTTACATGTTGAGGCATACTATAGGGGCCTGAATAATTCGAACTAGGGTTTCGGTGGTCACTATCGTAAAATTGCAAAGGGACCATAAGGGAATACTATTAGTAATTATTCCGACCCCTATATTATTCGACCCGGAAGCCCACCCCCCCCCCCCCCCGACCGACCCGGCGTTTGCCGCGGCCAAGGCTCCACAGAATGTTTCGAGACTCCGGCTTCGTGCAGATTGGCTCCAGGTCGATCTTGGCCGGCTTGCCTCCACTACTTTATCTATTTAGATATTTCTTTACTAGTATTGCTTGTTTTTTTTTTTGGAGAGGGGGGAGGAGGTTGTGAAATTTTTTCTTTGGGGGGGGGGGGGGGAATTGAGGGGTTTAGGGGTTTGGAACTTTTGGAGTTTAGGATTTAGGGCCTAAAGTTTGGGGTTTAGGGTTGTTTAGGCTTTACAGCTTGATTTTGGGTTTAGGGTGCAGGGCTTAAGGCTTCAAGTCAGGATTCTCGGGCTTAGGGTTGGTTGGAAGGATGGGCCAACGTGCCCCATGATCCCCTTGCCAATGCCTATGCCTCGTAGCCTAGGAACTAGGCCCAAGAGTTTAGGGTTTAGGGTTTAGGGTTGGGAATAACAGGGTGCCTTGTTTCGGTTTAACGGGGCGTATAAGGGAGCCTAAACCGTAAAAGAAGGCAATAAGGGCCTACTCTGGGGCCTAGGAACAGGAGGGTGCCAACTCTTTGTTTCGTGGTTTTTCAAGGGAACCTAACCCCCTAAAAAGGATGATTGGTGCTACTGGCCACGCCAAAACCCTAAACGGCCCGAAACCCTAAACCCTAAACCCGAAACCCTAAACCCCAAACCCTCCGAAGTACAAAAATCACCCAATCCTGGAAGGGTCAGTGTATCGCAAGTCAGCGGATGGGCATTAAGGTTTGCAGTCAACTCCGTAGCCCTGGGTACCTTTGTGGGTAGTTTAGGGTTTAGCACTAGGGGGTTTAGGGTTTAGGGTTTAGGGTTTGGGGTTTAGGGTCGGGGGGCTCACCAGTGACTTTTTAGCGCGCCAGCTTCGGCTTCGGACTTTCGGGGTTATGGGGTCCACCCATGATCCTACATCGTCCTATAGACCCAGCCTTGACTTAATAATGAGGGTTTAGGGTTTAGGGTTTAGGGTTTAGGGTTTGGGGTTTGGGGCCCCCTAAACGCTAACCCCCGTTTGTAGGGTGTGGAATGCGTTCTAAGTGTCCTCGAAATTCGCAGACTTTGGCTTTGGGCGAGCTTTCAGGGTGTTTGCGGTACACTCTCAGGTCACTTCTGGCAGGCTGCCCTAAACACCCCAAAACTCCGACGGAAACCCTTAATCCACCGCACCCCTAAATCCCTAAACCCTAAACCCTAAATTACATCCTAAAACCCCTAAAACCCCTAAAGCCCCTAACACCTTGAAAACCCCTAAAACCCTAGACCCTAAATGCCTAAATCCCTAAGCCCCTAACACCCCTAGAACCCTTCAACCCAGAACCCCAAAACCCTTCAACGCGAAGGTTGGGGCAGTGCCTTTCATGGCGAGCATGCCCTCTGGCTCGTAGAACTCGCCCGACTGCACACCTCCACACCGATCCATGGAGAGGAGGTTTGGGGCTGGCCCTTCAAAGATTAAATGGGTTTAGGGTTTAGGGGTTTAGGGGTTTAGCGTTTAGGGTTTAGGGTTTAGGGGTTTAGGGTTTAGGGTTTAAGGGTTAAGGGTTACGGGTTAAGGGTTAAGGGTTAAGGGTTAAGGGTTAAGGGTTAAGGGTTAAGGGTTAAGGGTTAAGGGTTTAGGGTTTAGGGTTTAGGAAGCCTGCAGGTGCCCAATATGTTCCCCTAAGGACGCCAATTCTGCCCCGCCAAGCCTTGTCCAACGCAGCACTTGAGCAGGGGCATCGTCCCATCCTTGCACGGAGGATGGTGGTGAGACTTTTGAAGGTTTAGGGTTTAGGGGTTTAGGGTTTAGGGGTTTAGGGTTTAGGGTTTTAGGGTTTAGGGGTTTAGGGGTTAGGGGTTTAGGGATTTAGGGGTTTAGGGGTTTAGGGGTTTCGGGGTTTAGGGGTTTAGGGGCTTAGGGTTTATCATCATACTACTTGTGATGCTACTGAACCTGCCAATAACATGCAGATGTTGCTTAGGACAATGAAATGCCACTACGGAAAAAAAGGTACTAATGGGAAGCAGGATGCTGGGAAGCCAATGATACTAGAATGCTATGTTCCCTTCTTATCAAAAACATGATCAACTGGGTTGGCCTTTAAAGCCTCTGGAAAACAAAAATATACAGGGACCCTTGTGACCCAAGTAAGGAAAATATAGAATGTCCCTAAACCCCAAAGCCCAAACCCTAAACCGCTACCAAATGGGCACTTCGCTGCCGCTACTTCGGAGGGTCGCACAAAACTGACGCTCTCTGAAATCCAATGTCGTTTCGAACTGTTGATTGATGGAGTCGCTTAACGCCGATGCGGGGCAAAATCGATGAATAGAATACTACAATAGTGCAATACTACAAAAGGGGAAATAGACAGCAATACAAGAAGACAATAAGACACCAATACAATACTACAACCATATAATGATATCACGAAATGATAATAATATTACAAAGCATGTAAGAACACTCGCAGAAAAATATACAAATAACATGAAAAAACAAGATAATCCTATATTAAAAAGACCTTAGAACTGAATAGAAACAACATAAAGCCTACCTTACTTGGTAGCCCACTATCCACGTGTTAACCCTTTTTTGGGGTTGGTTAATTTTTATCAGGGAGCCTTGAGCCAAACGGAAACGACAAACGAGTAGCTGCCAAGCTTATCCCTGCCTTGGAATAGACCCCGGCAAAAAGTCTATACTAAGGTACAGGTAGCTATCATAGGAACCCAGAACCTGGTCGAGCAAGAAGGCACGCCGAAAGGATGCCGTCAGCTGGCTTAGGGAGGCTCGAAGCAGTCCTGCTTTCCGAGCCCGACTGTTGGCGGCATTCTCCTTGTTTACCCGGCGCATCTCCTGGAGCTTCAGCGGCGTCACCTGCTTTTTCGCAGATGCAGCGCACATATGTTAACAATCTTGCCAGTCCTGTGTTTCCTTCTCCTCTTTGCGCATCTTGGTCACCTCGTCCTTCTGCGAGAGCCAGGCCTCCTTGTTTTGTTTTTTTCCAGGCCTGGCCAGCCTGTCACGGATGAAATGAAAGAAAAAGCACAATCTGAGGACGCGTGGCCCGCCTTCGTGAGATCCTCCCGCCCTTTCTTTTCGGCCGCCTGGATGTCGGCCTCGCGCCGCTCCTTTCTGGCCGCCTTCTTCTCTTTCTTCCTGATGGCACGAGGTCATTTCTGCGATAATTCTGCAAGCCCTCCTGGGCACCCCCCCCACCTGGCTGGCAAGTGGGGGCAGCAAAGGGCGGGACAAGGAGGGGGTAAGGGGTACCAACAAGAGCAGCGGGGGGGGGGGGGGTCGGGAGGCACCAAGTGAAGTGTGGGGCAGTGAGCGGGAAGGGTGGGGGCAGCAAGGGCAGCGAGGGGGGGCATGCACTGGAGCCCACGAACAAGGCACAAGGGGTACCAACAGCAGGCATGTACAACACTCCATTACGGTAAGAGGGGAAGGACAAAGGCGGGGCAGTGGGGGGGGGGGGGGTGTCGGGCAGGCACCAAGAGGGGGCGGCAAGGGCGGGGAGGGGGGAGGCAAGGGCAGCGAGGGAGGGGGTCGGGCATGCATTTCACTCCATTTCTATCAGCAAAGCAGGCAGGCACCAAGAGGTGGGGGGAAGGGGGAGGCGCGGCGCGTACCCTTGCTCTGCCCCCACCTCTTACCCTCACTGGCATGCGACCCCCTCCCCCCCCCTGCCCTTGCTGCCCCCGTCCCGCCCCTCTTACCCTGCCCGCCCCGCCCGCCTCCTTGCCCCCACATCTTACCCTCACTGCCCCAACGCGTTCGTAATGAAGTGTTGTTAGGGCTCTAGTGCATGCCCGACCCCCCCCCCCCCGCTGCCTTGAGTGTTTTAAGGGCTCCAGTACATGCCCCTCGCTGGAGCCACATCTGTATACGCTGCCACCTCGTTGCGAAGCTCCTTTCAGATTGATATGTGCATGGATCTGGTTTCAAATGGAAGATTCGGGTCGGGCATTCTGCCTTCGGAGTCGGCGGCTTCGCTTTGAAGCGCGCCAGGCACGACCGCTGCTTCCCCCTACCCCTGCTGAAGTAAAGAGCGCGTGCAAAGAACAGATCACTGCCGATGCTCGAATCAAGCAAATTGTCATGTACAATTCAATCCACCAAAACAAAAACTATGCAAAAATCAAGCATGCTGAGTTGTGTAGCTTGAAAAAAAAAGCCCGAAAAGGCTTCAAAAAGTCCCCAAAAAAGGGGTGAGCCCAGTAGACCATGTTCCCGTAATGAAAATTGCTGTTCTTAATATTGAAATCGACGGTTTCGGGGCCCCTCCCATTTACCTCCACCACCACAGCCCCCAAATAGCTTTAAAGGGTCCCAAGAGGCACCAAAAAGCCACCAAAACACGGGGAGCCCAAGATTTGCCTGCTCCCGCAAGAACAATTGCTATTTTTGAATACTAGTATCGACGAGATCGGGGCCCCTCCATTCTACCCCAAAGCACCACCGCAGCCCCGAATAGCTTTAAAACGTCCCAAAACCCTAAAAAACCTTAAAAGAAGAGCACACAAAAAGTATGAACGAACGGTACTCCAAAACCCAGTCCTAAACCCTAAACCCTAAAATCTAAACCCTAAACCCTAAACCCAGCTATAAACCTTGCGACCGTTCTCTTCGAGGAGCGCTGCGAACGAGAAGGAGCTTTAGAGGTTTAGGACGGAGCAAAAAACCGAAGGGTTGAGGGTTTAGGATTAGGGTTTGGGGTTAAGGGTTTAGGCGGTTTACGGTTGGGGTTGAAGGGCTTTGGGGGTTCCCTCATCACTACAACTGGAGGATGCAGTGCTACATTGAGGCATGACTAATATTATAGAGGCCTGAAAAATTAGAATAGGATTTCGGGGGTTATTCTAGTAGAACTACAAAGGGACGCTGCGGGAATATGATTCGTAATTATTCCGACCCCTTTTATTGGTGGCCACCCTCCTCTCCAATGCTGTCTGAGCTGCCTCTCCCGACTGCGCGAAGCGCATCATCCAGGCGTCATTGAATCCATCCGCTTGTTTGGTGGTGACCTGAGATAGGATGGCCCCTGAAACCCTCTAGGGTTTAGGGTTTAGGGTTTAGGGTTTAGGGTTTAGGGTTTAGGGTTTTGGGTTTAGGGTCCCCTTAAACCCACGGTTGGACAATGGAAAATACTCCTGCGGTTCTCAGTCCAAGCTTCCCTCATGAACCCTGAACAGATCAAAAAAACCTCAAACACCCTCAACAACACAATAAACCCTAAGCCCCTAGACCCCTTAACTCCTAGACTCCAAACCCCAAAGGCCAGCCACTAAACCCGAATCCCCAAAGCCCGAAACCTTAAAACCCTAAACCCCAAACCCCCAAAAGCCCCTAAGCTCCCACGCTCCTAAACCCCTAAACCCCTAAACCCCCAAACCCCCAATCCTTAATCCCCTAAACCCCTAAGCCCTAAACCCCTAAACCTTAAATCCTCCAAACCCCTAAAAGGTTTACTAAACCGCTAAGCCCCTGAACCCCGAAGCCGCTAAGCCCCTAAACCCCAAAGTAGGGAAGAAAAAAACACATACTCTTTAGGTATATGTAGCTATAATCGGAACTCAGAACCAAAAAAAGTATCAAAGTATACTCATCCAAAACTTTCCAGAACCCTAAGGCCTGAGCCCCTGAGCCCCTAAGCCCCTAAGCCCCTGAGCCCCTAAGCCCCTAAGCCCCTAAGCCTCTAAACCTTAAATCCCCCAAACCCCTGAACCGCTAAGCCCCCAAACCCCAAAGCCCCGAAGCTACTGTTTGCTTAAGAACCCCCCCAAAAAAATTAAAAAAATATTCTTTCCTGTAAGAGTTCATAAGGGGATTGTTTGTTTTTCCTTTCCTTTGGGCTTCTTAAGCAAAACCCTAACCACTAACCCCTAACCCCTAACTCCTAACCCCTAAACCCTAAACCCTCAACCCTAAACCCTAAGCCCTAAACCCTAAACCCTAAAACTCTCCCCTGGGACCTGCAAGTTGGTTGCTGCCAGGCCAGGCGCTGCACAAAGGGCCTGCGCCATCCCAAAGCTCTCTCTGCTTGGGGGTTTGGGTCCCTATTTGGGCTTCGGGTTTAGGATTTAGGGTTTAGGGTTTAGGGCTAGGGTTTAGGGGTTCGGGGTTAGGGTTTGGGGTTTGGGTTTTAGGGTTTAGGGTAGTTACAAGGCCCCTTTGCGTGTCCCTTAGTTGGGGAGCCCTTCCAGACCCCCTGCATACTCTATAAAACCCAAACACCAATACTTCAGAACCCTTTTGAAACGGCAAGGGTCAATCTATTTGTATTTAGGGTGTTGGGTTTAGGTGGCTTGTTGATTTTAGGGTTTTCTTAGGGAAGTTAGTTACATGGCCCCTTAAAATGGGGACCCCTCATATACCCGATATATACCCTAACACACCCAAGAGCCCATATTTCAGAACCACCGTTTTAAGGGACCATGCAACAAATTCTACAGTTTTGGTGGTTTAGGCAGTTAGGAGCCTTACGGCTCTTTTGGGGGTTGATTCTGGAGAGCGTGGAGGTTTTAGGGGTTCAGGGGTTTTAGGGTGTTGGAGGTTTGGGGGGTCTTAAAGGATTTGAAGCACCTAGACTGAAGTACCCTGATTAAGTCTCAAGAACCTCATCATGTGGCTTTTAAAGGGATGCCAAGCTTAAACCCCAAACAACCCCAGCTACTCTGAGGCCCTAAAGCTCATGAACAAAAAAAAAGACTGTACATGTGTACATGTATACGCATAGATGTGGCTCCCAACACCCCACCCCCCCTATAAAGGCCAAGCCCGCAAATCTCGCATCGCACAGGGCGTTGGCCTTGACCTTGGAGTTCTTGGCTCGAAGCCTGGCAGCAATTTTTTACTTCGCCAAAAAAACAAGGAGTACAAAAAGTTAAGTGTTAATGTTCCTAAACCCTAATTACACCAATAAACCACTAGCCACTAAATCACTAAAAAAGGAAGCCCCAAAAGTTGAAAGCTCAACTATTGCTCAGTAGTTCTTTGAGGGACCCAACAGCCGGCCATGGCTGAACCATAGTTTGTGGGATTGCTCCCACTAGACCCTAAAGCCTCTCACCCTGAACCCTATAGAGCCTGAACCCAACCCCAAAACCCAACCCCCAAACCCAAAACCCAAAACCCAAAACCCTGAACCCGCTAAACCCAAAACCCAAAAAGCAAATCCTGAGGAGTGGCTTCTCGTCCAGGGCCAGGGTGAACACCGCGTTGGCCAGCTTGGTCTGATGGTATCTGGGCAAGGGCTTACAGGGTTCAGGGTTTAGGGTTTTGGGGCAAGGGCTTGCAGGGTTTATGGGCTTAAAAGGGGCTAAGGTTTAGTTTATGGTTTTGGGGGGTTTTGGGGCGTTTTGGGGGGCTTTGGGTGGTTTTGGAGGGTTTGGGGAGTTTTTAGGGGGGTCTTGGGGGGTTTTAGGGTTTGGGGTTTTTGGGGCCTTCCAGCCTCAAAGCCCCTAAACCCTAAACCCTAAACCCTAAACCCTAAACCCTAAACCCTAAACCCTAAACCCTAAACCCTAAAGGGTTGATGAGGGGTCATGCTGCGGCCTCTGCCAGCGAGCGCCGCCGAAGAACATTGAGTTGCCTTGGTAGCCCAGTAGTTCGGGTTTAGGGTTTAGGGTTTAGGGTTGAGGGTTGAGGGTTGAGGGTTTAGGGTTTAGGGCTACCAAGTTGCCGTTGCCACCCAGGTTTCCACCGTTCCTTGGCGCGGTGGGCGGGGGGGGGGGTGGGGTGCCCACCCTAAACTCTCAGCTGGAAGCCGCCTTTGCTCGAACCCTGTCCGGTTGAGGGTTTAGGGGTTAGGGTTTAGGGTTTAGGTTTAGGGTTTAGGGCTTAGGGTTTAGGGTTTAGGTTTAGGGTTTAGGGTTTAGGGTTCAGGGTTCAGGGTTTAGGGTTTAGGGTTTAGGCCGATGTGCCTGCAGTGCATGCCGAGGCGCTTGGCCATGTATTCCGCATCCAACTCTTTGGTCGGAAACTTCCGCGCGCCTCGCGCGATTACACCCCCAAAGCCCTAGGGTTTTGGGTTTAGGGTTTAGGGTTTGGGGTTTAGGTTTTGGGGTTTAGGGTTTAGGGGCTCATCCGATGCAACCCCTCCGCCAGTGGCATGCATTTATTTGCAGCTCTGGCGCCCTGAAATGAAAACCCCCAAACCCCCAGGCCCATAAACCCTGAACCCTGAACCCTAAACCCTAAACCCTAAACCCTAAACCCTAAACCCTGACCCCTAACCCCTAACCCCTAAACCCTCAACCCTAAACCCTAAACCCTATGTGAACCATGCCCCAAGTACCCTTCATAGTACCAACAGAACCCTGTGCCCTCACAACACTAAGTGCCCAAGTACCCCAAGCCGAAACCTGAAGCCTGTATTTCTCGAGGCGAGACTCCGAGAAAGAGGGCGTAGGTCCAAAAGCAGCAAATCGGGGCTTCCCTACATAGATCAAAGCCTCATGCAAGCCTTCTCCACTTGTAGCGTCCCACCCCAGCACCCATGATACTGGCCCTTGATTTTGGTTTAGGGTTTAGGGTTTAGGGTTTAGGGTTTAGGGTTTAGGGTTTCGGGTTTAGGGTTTAGGGTTTCGGGTTTCGGGTTTCGGGTTTCGGGTTTCGGGTGTCGGGTTTCGGGTTTAGGACGTATTCCTTATCAAGGGGGTACGGGCCTAAACCCTACACCCTACTATCTCTGACCTGAGGAACATGTCTTTACAAGGATCCTTACCACGCTTAGGCCCTAACCCTGCAGCCTGAAACCCCAAAGCCCTAAGCCTTAACAGCCCTGAAACTCCCTAAAACAAAGCCTAATTCCTAGACCATAAAACGTCAAAATACACCCAAAAAAGCAAGGTCTCGCGGGTTCCCTTTGATTCGCCTACAAACCCTTTGTCCTAAACCTTTTTTATCCCACACCCTAAACCCTAAACGTTTATCCTGAACTCTAAGCCCTAAACCCCAAAACCCCTAAATCCCTAAACCCATCAACCCTAAACCCCTGAACACCAAAACCCCAAAACCCTAAACCGCTAAACCCCTAAATCCCGAAATCCCTAAACCCCTAAACCCCAAACCCCTAAATACCAAAAACCTAAATACCAAAAAACCTAAATCCGAAAGTCCTTTATCTTCCTTCAAGGTTTCCTGGGGCTCGCTTGGAGTTCGGCCTGAGGAGTGGTTCACGATCCGCGCATCCCCATTCTTCTCCGCGGCCTTCCTGTCTTAAGGTTTAGGGTTTAGGGTTGAGGGTTGAGGGTTTAGGGTTTAGGGTTTGGGGTTTGGGGTTTAGGGTTAGCTTCGTGGGCCCCTGATAAGGCATGGGCCCTTAAGTTGCATAGGGTATAGAAGGGGTATATAAGGAGTTTCCCTGTTCAGCGCCCATCTTAAGGGACCATGTAACTACCCTTAGATCCTTTTAAGGCGCCACTTGCGGGATTTTAGGGGTTTGGGGGGTGGGGGGTTGAAAATATTCCTTTTGGTGTCAGCTTTGGGGGTTGTAAGGGTTGTAGGTGTTTGGGGATTAGGCTAGAGTCGGCTAGAGTGTTTTAGGGGCCCTGGGATACGCGTTTTTTGCATTTTTTTAAAGGGGGGTGGGGAGGGGCGGGGGGCTGCAGGGGTTTTGCTTTTGAGGGCTCCGGTTTCGGGTTCTCCCCCGAAAACCTCAACCCCCAACCCTTTCAGGGGAAAAACAAGCCTAAGCTCGAACCTGAAGCCTCGATGGAGCCTCTCATGTCCAAAAGCCACCCCCAAAGCCATAAACCTACATTCGCATCAACTTTAAATGCAGAGAGGGAGGGAGGGAGGGAGAGAGAGAGAGAGAGCAAGCGAGAGAGATTTACAAAAAAGACCTCTTTGCAAAAACCCGGGTGTTTTATAAAAACCCTCTTTCCACATAAATCTATATTATATACACACACATACACGTGGTTTATGTTGGGTTTAGGGTTTAGGGTTTAGGGTTTAGGGTTTAGGGTTTAGGGTTTAGGGTTTAGGGTTTAGGGTTTAGGGTTTAGGGTTTAGGGCTTGATAAAAGTATCGTGTCAGCACCTCAAACGCCGTTTTTAACAGACTGGAGCCCATGAAGCGCGCCCCCGCAAGCTCTGGAGCCCTGGTCGCAGCTCGGGTGTTAGGGTTTAGGGTTTATAGGGTTTATAGGGTTTATAGGGTTAGGGTTTAGGGTTTAGGGTTTGGGGTTTGGGGTTTGGGGTTTGGGGTTTAGAGTTTAGGGCTCTCTCTCTCGCTCTCTCTCGCTATTGGGGGGGGGGGGGTGTTAGGGTTTAGGGGTTTAGGGGGTTAGAGTTGGGTTTAGGGTTTAATGTTTCGGGTTGGCCCGTTTAGGGGGGGGGGGGTTCCTCTTCAACAAGGTATAGAAGGGTCATCGTATTTTGGGGGTGTACTTGTGGAGCCGCCTGGCTTGAAGGGAAATAGCCAAGAGTCTCCAGGAGCGGGTAGAGCTCTTTGGTCAGAAGAAAGTGCGACAGGTGATTGGTCCTTGGCCAAAGGATTTCTATACTGAACCTGGAGAGCCCTAGCAGAAATTATGATTTTTGCTGTTCCTCAGGAATTAAAGTACCCAAAAAAACTAAAGCCACATTTCCAAGTGCCCGAAGGTTTTGGTGGAGGTTTCAGGGTTGATCTACGAGCTCCTTAGAAGACCTTCGAAGCGACGGCTCAAAAACCAAAAGCTCAGAAGAGGCATATGAAATACCCCAAGGGCTAAACCCTAAACCCTAAACCCTAAACCCTAAACCCTAAACCCTAAACCCTAGTTACGGTGCTTCGGCTTTAGCCGGCACTGGGTGGTAAGTCCAAAACTCCTCAAAGCTCAGCCCTACAAAGGCCAACCGCATCGAAGCCCCCGTGGGCCCTACGAGGTTTCCACCGAATCTCCGTGTTTACTTGGCCAGGAGATGGAAAACTCAGCTTTGTATCTAAACAATCCGGCTGTTCTTGTTGCGGCACACGGGGCGCTCGGAACAAGTATTTTTCTTGGTAGCTTCAATGAAGAAGAAATTGTCTGTACTCCGGCAAAAGCCCCTAAATCCTAAACCCTAAACCTCCTAAACTTTCAACCCTCAACCCCAATTCCACTAAACCCGCCCTCGAAGTCCCGCGGCCTACGCCCGAGCAAAGGATCCAAGGATCGAAAGGAGGGAAGGGAGCTTAGGGGTTTAGGGTTTAGGGTTTGGGGTTTAGGGTTTAAGGTTTAGGGTTTAGGGATCCAAGGATCTGCATCTGCACGTCATAGCCATCCTTGGTGGCCTGCACAGCGCCGGCCCCTTGTGTTCTGACATCTTCTCCCTAAACCCCTCAACCCCTGAACCCCTAAACCCCTGAATCCCAAAAAAACCCTAAACCAGTGTGGGCTCCAAGAGAAGACGGTTTTGAAGGCCTCAATAGGTGTAGTTTTGATTAAGGTCTCTTTCGTTGGTGGTCCTTATTCTGTGGGTGCCGCATTCGAGGGTACTCCCTAAGGCTCCCTAAGCTTCCCTACAGTTCCCTAAGTATCAACCATAAACCCTAAACCCTAAACCCTTGAACCCCCTCCCTTAAGAACCCTATAAGGCCTAGCCCCGGAGCCACGTTCTGTCCCGCCATCAAGGCTTCAAGGGTTTTAGGCCGCTTCGAACCCATCTCGCTGCAACCCTGACCCTACAAAACCTTAAAATCACCTTAGGGTTTAGTGTTTAGGGTTTTGGGTGAAATGTTCCCTAAACCCTAAACCCTTAACCCTAACCCTCAACGTTAGGGACATACGGTTTCAGAGGTTTGCTCGCCTCATCAGCCAAAGCCATGACGCCAGCATTGTTGCAGAGAACGTCGATACCTCTGCAAGCGAAGACATGCAAAAAAGTACAAGCGAGAAACAAGAACAGAATCACAAGTAAGATGGGAAGAAAGGCAAAGACCAGAAAAACCTTCCAAAAATCTTTGAGAACCCGCTAACAACTACAACCCTCCCTCGATCACCTGCTCACCAGCTCCCGCTACCCCCTCCCGCTCCCAATGCCCCTCCCCACTCCCAATCCTTCCCCAAACTGCAGACCGTTGACGTCTCTGCCTTTTTGTTCGCCGCAAAGTTCGAGCTGTCTTGCTAGGCTTTGCATTTCAAGAACGAGCCAGCACGGTCAATGCGGCTCGGAGGCAACAATTAAAAACTCACTAGGGCGCAATTAGAAGCCCTCAGGGGGCTCATGGCACCAATACGGCCCGAAGACGGCGCCTCACAAGCTCAGCTGTCGTGCGGGTCTCCTGCGAGTCCTGCTCGGTCTCGCAACTTGACACACCCATGGAACTCGAAGGAAGCAGCTGAAACTCCGGGCCGACTTCTCGGTGGAGATGACCGCCAAGCCCAAGTAGCAGCACCAATTTGTAAACGACCGCAGCGTCCAAGCTCCTGGGATTTCTCGTCTCTTTCAGGATTTTGGGCCTTCAAAAACCTTGAATTAAGGCCAAAAGATAGGGATTTTCCGAGTTTGGTGGCCTTGGAAACCGCCAAAATAGCAAACTTAGCGATTTTTGACCATTTGGGGCCTTCAACAACCCTGAATTACACTAGTTTGGCGGCCTTGGGAACCCTCAAAATGGCAAATTTTAGCGATTTTTGAGTATTTTGGGCCTTCAAAAACCTTGAATTAAGGCCAACACATAAGGATTTTGCCTTGGAAACCCAAAATGGTTCATTTTAGCGATTTTTGACCATTTGGGCCTTCACAAACCCTGAATTAAGGCCAAGAACATAGGGATTTTCGCTAGTATGGCCGCTCAAAAGGCCGCCAGCTGTTTTCGAAGGCTTGAAAAAGCTGAAAAAGCCGGTGCTTTTCAGCAAAAAGAAAAACGAAAAACTTTGTCAATACCCAGTCAAACCCGCCCAAAAAGCCGCCAGCTGTTTTCGAAGGCTTGAAAACATGCTGAAAAAGCCGGTGCTTTTCAGCAAAAAGAAAAAGGAGAAACTTGGTCAATACCCAGTCAAACCCACCCAAAAAGCCGCCAGCTGTTTTCGAAGGCTTGAAAAAAGCTGAAACAACCGGTGTTTTCTGCAAAAAGCAAAACGAGAAACTCGGTCAAAACCCGGTCGAAACCCGGCAAAACCCGCCCAAAACTCCGGACCCAAACCCTATACAATTTCTATAAACCCGAAAAACCTTGAAACCAGTCCCTTGGGGCCGAGCCGCCTGTCTTTCCGGCAGTGATACCTTAAGACTGCTTCTGGAGAAAAGGAGCCATCGGGTTTGGAAGCTTCTTGGGTTAGGGTTTAGGGCTAGGGTTTAGGACCTAGGGTTTAGGGTGGAGGGCTGGTTTAGGGGGCGGGGGGTGCAGGTTTAGGCGTTTCGGCTCAGACCCTGAACTTTCCGCAGTTTCGCAGCTCGACCTCTCAAAACAAACTGCAGCAGCGGGGCAGGAAGAGGAGCTGCCCAACAAGCTCCTCCTCGTACCGCATCCTTTAAGGGGGTCAAAGGAAGCACCGCTAGAAGGGACCCTGGGTCTGCTTCCTCTATAAAAAAACCCCTATATACCGAAGTAGCCCCCAAATAACCCCTACATACCCCTATGGCCCCTCATAAGGGTCCCTCCTTTAGTCCCTTGGAATCCTGCGCGCGTAGATGCCCAGAAGCCTCGCCACACTCTCAGGCCCCTCGCGATCGCGAGCCAGCTTGATGAGATCCTTGTCAGAAGTGTTTAGGGTTTAGGGTTTAGGGTTTAGGGTTTAGGGTTTAGGGGGCCCTTTTGCCCACCTTTACCCCCAAAGGGCCATGGAGGGTTGAGGGCTTTAGAACCCCCGAAACCCTAAACCCTTAAACCCAGCAAGAGCTACCAAGTATGAATTTCAACCATCCCCGAAAATCTTCATACACAGGCCTCTCTGGCTTTGACTGCAAGGCTGCAGTTAGGCTTTTGCGGGTTGGTTCTCAGTAGCCTTGAGGGTTTAGGGTTTATACCCTAAACCTTTTAAACCCTAAACCCTAAACCCTAAACCCTAAACCCTAAACCCTAAACCCTAAACCCTAAACCCTAAACCCTAAACCCTAAACCCTAACAGGGTCCCCCTGGTCTGTTGTACAAAGCACCTCGAAGCTCCGTCGCGACGCATTGCCGAGATGGGCCACAAAGGGGCGAGCCTGCCGAATGTAGGGGTTTAGGGTTTAGGGTTTAGGGTTTAGGGTTTAGAGGTTTAGGGTTTAGGGTTTAGGGTTTAGGGTTTAGGGGTTTAGGGTTTAGGGGCTTAGGGGCTTAGGGGCTTAGGGGCTTAGGGGCTTTAAGGGCTTAGGGGTTTACGGGTTTAGGGGCTTCGGGGCTTAGGGGTTTACGGGTTTAAGGTTTAGGGGTTTAGGGGTTTAGGGCGTAGGGTAAGGCTGAAGCGGTTCACCCAACCCCTCTAGTAGTACAGGGGCCTTAATTAATAATTGGAATAGGGTGTAGGGTTTAGGGTATAGGGTTTAGGGTACGATCTTTGATCATGGACCCCCTTACCGCGACATCAGCGCAGAAAACTATCCGGGCCGTAGAGTGTTGCTGGAGGGGCCTTTCCCCCCCTCCCCCCCGGAACCCTAAACCCTGAACCCTATAAACCCTAAATCCTAAACCCTAAACCGCCAATGGCTTAAGTGGCTTGTGCATCTGTTTTGAGTCTTCCAGACTCCGGGTTCATCCGTGGCCCCATCGGATCATCGCGCTACGTGTTACTGTGTGGGACGTCTGAATCTGGCTGGTTCTTTGTAGGGAATGAGGGAATGAGGTACAGTGACAGCACTGATTAAGAAATCATTGGATTAAGAAACGAGCATGCTCGCGGCTGGATCCCGGATAAAAATGCGAAAATTGAGAGCAAGACTAAATTAAGAATCGAGGGTACCCTCATCCTGGGCCTTAATTTTCTTAAATTTGGTTGTTCCGCCCGTCAGTTTCTAGACATAAAACAATTTCAGAAATCCAGCTCCTCCCCCCCTTGAATGAAATGTCTCCCCCCCTTAAATAAGAAACTCAGCCCTCGATCTCTTAGATTTAAGAAATCCAGCCCCTCGATTTCTTCAATTTAAAAAACCCAGCCCCTCGATTTCCTAAATTTAAGAAATCCAGCCCCCCGATTTCTTAAATTTAAGAAATCCAGCCCCTCGATTTCTTAAATTGCCCGGGCCTCCCCCGAATACTAAATTACGAGCCCGGGCCTCCCCCCAATGCTAAATTACGAGCCCGGGCCTCCCTCAGTAAATTACGAGCCGGGGCCTCCCCCCAATTTTAAATTATGAGTCCGGGGCTGGATTTCTTAAATTTAAGACATCGAGGGGCTGGAGTTCTTGAATTTATCAACCCCAGGGGCTGGATTTCTTAAATTTAAGAAATCAAGGGGCTGGATTTCTTAAATTTAAGAAATTGAGCGGCTGGATTTCTTATCTAGGGGGGGAGGTTTGGGCTCGTAATTTAGTATTGGGGGGAGGCCCGGGCTCGTAATTTAGTATTGGGGGGAGGCCCGGGCTCGTAATTTAGTATTGGGGGGAGGCCCGGGCTCGTGGTTTAGTACTGGGGGGAGGCCCGGGCTCGTAAGTTAGTATTGGGGGGAGGCCCGGGCTCGTATTTTAGTATTCGGGGGAGCCCCCAATTAAGAACTTGAGCGATCAACCTGATGGATAAGGCGTCGCCTTGCTAATTGAAACGTTGCCAGTTCGAATCCCACTGCCACTAAGAAATTCGTTAAGAAATCGAGGGTACCTTCAAAAGTGGAGGCTATAATTCCGGAAATTGAGAGGGCTTCATACTTAAGAAATCGAGGGTACCCTCGCCAAAACTTAGAGGTTTCTTATCCAGCGCTGTCACTGTACTCCCCCTATAAGGCCTAGGCCACCCCCCTACAGTTGATGGCGGCGCCTAAGCCCCTCCACCTCGATGGCGCAAGCCAACCCAGGTCGTTCGCCCGCCTCCCACAGCTCGGAAGTCGGTAGCGCCCACGACTGGCCCGGTACCGGAGCACGTTCTCCTCGATACCATTGCTAACCCGCCTTAAAGTCATTACATTCTGGGACCCCCTGAAACCCTGCAACCCCTCTCGGACCCTGCCTGAAACCTCCCTGGACCCCAGACCTTCCTGCACCCCCTCAACTACCCTGCTGCGACCCTCCTTGGACCATCCTTAATTCTGCTTTATGTAAATCCCGGACACGAGACGCCCTGGAACGGAGTGGGCGGTTGGCTTGAGTTTAGAACCTAGGAATAGGTTTGGGTGGTTTTGCCGCCTAAGACGGTGTGGGGTGGGAGAAAGGTGTTAGGGTGGCCCTCCACGATCGGGCCATGGCCGCCCTTCGCACTGCTCGATGCCTTCAAGGCTCTACTGAAAACCGTCCCATTTACAGCTTGTACGCCATACTACCCTAAACCCTAAACCCTAATTAAACCCTAAACCCTAAACCCTAAACCCTAAACCCTAAACCTAAACCCCTACTCTGGGTCCTAGTCTCGCTTGTGTGGCCTCCAGTGGTGGTTGGAACTGCGACTCGGAGATCTTGACGAGGCCGCGCATGCTGATTGCGTAGCCGACATTCTGTAGGAGCAGGTGCCGCATCCTTACCCTAAACCCTAAACCCTAAACCCTAAACCCTAAACCCTAAACCCTAAACCCTAAACCCTAAACCCTAAACCCTAAACCCTAAACCCTAAACCCTAAACCCTAAACCCTAAACCCTAAACCCTATCAAAACTTGGAGGTTTGGAGCTTAGGCTTCAGGAGTCAGATTCAGGTTTGGGCTTGGAGCACGGAAATCAAAGGTCATCTCAGCTGGCTTGCTTTTGCTGACTATCACAAAAACCGAAAAAATGCGAATTGAACGTCTTCTGGTGTCCCATCTGTGAATTCAACTTCATCTCGATATGCAAATGCGATCATCGCGGCTCCCAGTGCATGGAGGGCAACCAAGCTGGTGACGAGGACATGGTCCGAGAGAAGTGGTAGAAAGGCTGTCGTATATGCCAGCACATTCACTACCAAACTCTCGGCAATTGTTTGAGCACTGCCCAGGACAAACAAGGGGAACATGGCGAACACAAGGATCGCATAGCACATCAACTTCCTTGGAGCTTGCAGGACACCCAAAGGCCTAAGCCCTAAGCCCTAAGCCCTAAACCCTAAACCCTAAACCCCAAACCCCAGATTGCAACTCAGTCAACTCATGGAAGAGAGGTTACCGTGGGATTGTACTCTTAGATTCGAGCCTCATGAGTCGTTTGGGGTTGAAGGATTCGTTCGGAAGGCTCCGGGTTCCGGGTTTAGGGTTTAGGGCTATTCGTCTCCAAGATTCAGTAACATGTCGCTGGCCTTGGCATCGTAGATGACGTGCGGAAAAGCCTGGCTGGGAAGGTCCTTGCACCAATAGGAGGCCCAGAGCAATGTCGGGCAAAGGATGACGAAAAGACAGGGTACCTGGGATTGAGGCGTTGAGGTTCTGACCACGGCGAACGCCAATGGTTTACTAGGCCTCAGGATAAAAATGTCTTCGTGCTGACAAGCCGAAGCGCGATTGGGTTGAGGAACAGCTGATACGACTCGAAAACGGTGTAGTTCACAGCGTTCACCCCAAAGATGATAAAAAACGCCACCACCCGAGCATGATGCCGCGCTGATCCCGAAGCGTTTGGCATGCGGATCCACGCGTAGATGCTCCCGGCGATTTGGAGCATGACCTCAGCTCTCCAGCACCTAAAGGTTGGAGGTGCTAGAGCTATACCTTGGGGTGTTCCCCCTCTTACTGACAGTCCTTAATGGGGATTGTAGTACCCGCTATTATAATCCCCATTCAGAACTGGCAGTGTAAGCGGGCAACATCCCAAACTACAAGCTTTGAAAGCCATGGTCCCAGGGCTAAGTGGAGCAAACCTTGCACATAGGTTGAGTCTCAATGGTGTCTGGAGAGATGTTTAGCCATTCAAAGCACCTGGGGGGAGAGTTGGGGGGTTTCCGAAAATAGGGGTACCCCTATTCTAACGAGGGGCCGGCGGGGGCCGAACATGAAATGTCGTGGGGTTGGCAATCCAGGAAGAAGCGAACCCATTGGGGGGGGGAGGGAGTTGGGGATTGAGAGGGGGCTCGGGCACCTGAGAATTCTATCAGGGCCTCTTTAGAGTTGAGAGAGGGGTCGGATCTAAGACGCACGTTAGGGTTTAGGGTTTCGGGTTTAGGCTTTGGGGTTCAGCCCGATGCAACCTACCAGCAAAACATGTGCTCAAGCGACTGCAATATGCTGCGGGAGCTCGGCGAGAGCGCGAAACCACAAATAAACGTTTGGGGTTTAGGCTTAGGGTTTAGGGTTTAGGGTACACTCGAGCGGGGGCCTGGCTTCAAAAAGAAGAAGCCTGGAGGCAGAGAGAGCCGCGAGTCGGAGCGCGACGTGGCACGTGCAAGAGCGGCTGTTGCCCCCCCCCCCCCCCCCCGAAGGCATGTGCGTACGCCTCGTGCGCGACTCCAGCAAGACATGCTGGCAGATTGGGAAACCTAAACCCTAAATCCTAAACCCCAAACCCCAACCCCTAAACTCTAAACCCTAAACCCTAACCCTTAACTCTTAACCCTAAACCCTAAACCCTAAACCCTAACCCTAAACCCTACACCCTAAACCCTGAACCTCCTCATCCTCCTCGGCTTCCAAGTGGGGTCGGGTTTCGAAGGCGTTTAGCTTTTACCGCCCTTGGCACCCGCCTCTACCCTCTACCCTCTAATAGCCCTAAGCCCTAAGCCCTAACCCTAAACCCTAAATCCTAAACCCTAAACCCGAAAACCCTACACCCGAAAACCCTAAAGCGCACTTGGGCCATTTGCCAGGCAACGTAAAGTCGAGGCCGTCTCCACTCCGGTGTTTCGGGTTCAATATAGGGGCCCTAACAATTAGAATAGGGTTTTGGGGGATATCAAGGGGCCATAAGGGAATAATAATTCTTCCGACCCTATATTAGGGCTTAGGTGCTGTAAGTTACATGAAAAAAAGTATTTACTGACTTCAAGCTTTAGGGGGGAGGATAGTAGCTGTTTAGGCTCCTGCAGTGTACGCTTTGAGGTGCTTGGGTGCGACGGAGTGAACCACTTCTGTGGGCTAACCGCGCTTCCTGAGCAAGAAGATGCCGCGGTGGTACAGCTACGATGCCCAGATCCCTGAAGCCTGGATCTTGCCTCAAAAGCCAATCAACATCAACTTGTAGGGTCAGGGTTTAGGGTCTAGGGTCTAGGGTCTAGGGTCTGGGGTCTAGGGTCTAGGGTCTAGGGTTTAGGGTTTAGGGTTTAGGGTTTAGGGTTTAGGGTCCCTGAAGCCCGCTAAGCTTCCCTAAGGTTCCCTAGGTACCTAACTGTCATGACTCCCCTCCCTTAAGGACCCTGTAATGAACAGAAAAAGCCCCCAACCCTAAACCCTAAACCCTAAACCCTAAACCCTAAACCCTAAACTCTAAACCCTGCTTCTGCGGCTCAGCGGCCCTTGTCGGCAAACCTCGTCTGCAAGGGCTCTGCCAAGCAAAGCCCCTTAAACCCTGGATTCAGAACCCACAGGCTGCTTCTTGGTAGGGTTTAGGGTTTAGGGTTTAGGGTTTAGGGTTTAGGGTTTAGGGTTTAGGGTTTAGGGTTTAGGGTTTAGGGTTTAGGGTTTAGGGTTTAGGGTTCAGGGCTATTTAAGGAATTCCTTGCAGGGGACCGGGCATAGGAAGCTCTAAACCCTCAACCCTCTACACAATCGATGCACGGAGATGTGGGGTTCTTCAAATCTAAACTGAAAAATGCCTAAGGGACCCATAGAAGACCCTTCGCCCACCCAAGGACCCTCAGGTTTGGGTTTAGGGGTTTAGGCTTTAGGGTTTAGGGTCTAGGGCTTAGGGTTTTTTTTTGGGGTGTTAGGTTGGTCCTGGACAGCTATGGCTTGCATTCGCGGTGCACAGCTGTCTGAAAGTTCTTCCATGCTTGACACGCAAACTTCCTTCCAGCACCGGAAGCATCCCAAACGACCCTTCACCTCTGCACGAGCTGTGATAAACCCTAAACCCCTAAACCCCTAAACCCCTAAACCCCTAGACCCCTAGACCCCTAGACCCCTAGACCCCTAGACCCCTAAACCCCTAAACCCCTAAACCCCTAAACCCCTAAACCCCTAAACCCCTAAACCCCTGAACCCCTAAACCCGAAACTCTAAACCCGAAACTCTAAACCCTAAAGCCTAAAGCCTAAAGCTTCAAGCCTAAAGCTTAAGGCTTAAAGCCTAAAGCCTAAAGCCTAAAGCCTAAAGCCTAAAGCCTAAAGCCTAAAGCCTAAAGCCTAAAGCCTAAAGCCTAAAGCCTAAAGCCTAAAGCCTAAAGCCTAAACCAACCAACACAAAGTACCCAACAAGAGCAAGACATCAAGAACCAAAGCGGCCATCCTCACCGTTGCAACCACCTTCCTTTCCTCACATTAGGTACCTATTTAGTCTCTTCTCTTATTTCCTTCGGGGGGGGGGGGGGCCAGGGGTTTCGGGTTTAGGGTTCAGCATACCCCTCATGTAGGGGGAAACACCTACTTGTGAATTCAAGAAGCTTCCCCCAAAGCCCTCAACCCCCCGAAAAAGGAGTCAGGGCACTACTGGGCATCCTAGAATATAAGACTAAAACCATAAACCCCAAACCCCTAAACACCTAAATCCTAAACCCCTAAACCCTAAACCCTGAACGACCAAACCCCTAACCCCTAAACCCTAAGCAGAATATGGGGAGACACCTCTTGGTCAGGGCCAAGACACATGGATTTCAACTTTGCAGCTGCATCCTTCACGCCTCTGCGCGGAGAGGGCTGGCCCCCCCACTTTAAGGAAAGAAGCTTAGGGTTTAGGGTTTAGGGCTAGGGTTTAGGGTTGGGAGTTTAGGGTTTAGGGTTTAGCTACAGCTACAGCATGGCAACGACAGCTTTGGGCTTCGGATTCAAGCTATAGGGTGCACTGCCTACTGCCCCTACTGAACCCTAAACCCCCTAAAACCCAAACCTTAAACCCTAAAACCCAAGCCCTAAACCCTAAACCCCAGACCCTAAACCCTAAACCCCAAGCCCCAGACCCTAAACCCCAAACCCTAAACCCTTCTCATCCACCCGAGCATCTGTCGAAGCTTTGAAGATCGCAGGCCACGGAGGTCACGTTGCTGCCTCGCAGATTTGTTTAGGGTTTAGGGTTTACTAGGCTGCCCAGTAACCTAGGCTTAAAGAGGGTGCCCTTTTTTGCTTAAAGGGTTTTATAAGGGAACCCAAACCCCCCAAAAAGGGAATAAGAGTACTACTGGGCATCCTAGTTTAAAGGGTTCAGTCACGTCTTGCAAGCTGTGTTGAAAACTCAAGCGATTCTTGTGTCTTCATGTCGACATCTGCCACGGATGCTGGCGTGCAGGGTGAAAGCAGCTGTCAGTAAGCAAGGTCCCTTAACCCTAAGCCAGCAACCCTGAAATCCTGCGACAGCAAGAGCCGCTGCTCTCTGCAGCTACCACTGTCATAACTCACCATGTCGGCCTGTGAAACTTCTTGCAGCTAAGCTCCAATTCTAACTATTCTTACCCTCATGCCACTCTGCCGCGCTTCGTAACTGTTCCTTTCTACAAATGCGTTATTCGTAGTATGATTGAGAGGGTTAACTACTACTGTACTATACTGCTATGTCACGCCTGACGGGCGCAAAAAAGAAAAACACGCGCTCGCGCTACAGTCTTGAGTACTTGCCGCACTTGCACGCAGTCTGGGCTTATCTGGTGTGCTCCAGCACCAAGCACTCTGAACCCGAAAACCCTGGGTCTTAAACTTGGACCAGAACTCCACGGAACTCCTCCAACCAAAAAGCAAAGCCCCTTAGAGTTCAGGGTTAGGGTTTAGGGTTTAGGGTTTAGGGTTTAGGGTTTAGGGTTTAGGGTTTAGGGTTTAGGGTTTAGGGTTTAGGGTTTAGGGTTTAGGGTTTAGGGTTTAGGGTTTAGCAACCAATAAGCATAGCCTCTTAGAGTTCAGGGTTTAGGGAGTTTAGGGATTTTAGGGTTTTCAGGGTTTAGCTCACCTGGGGGGTTATTAAAGTAGCACAGGATCTCATGAGCCTGGCACAGCCTCCAAGATGGATTTCTCGGCTGCCTGGGCCCGCTCGCCTGGAGAACTCTTGATTTTTTTTTTTTTTTGGGTGGGGGGGGCTGTTTTGGGGGGGGGGGGGGGGGGGATGGGGTTTTGCTTCGGGTTGTTTACGGTTTAGGGTTTAGGGTTTAGGGTTTCGGGCTTGCTTGGGTTTGGGGCATTGATTCGGGCGTCGTGGTCGATGCTTTATGGCCGTGACACCCCAACAAAACTAAACAGGCCACACAACTCGATAGTATAAAATCTGGTATATATTGGAATTTTTATTGGTGGTTGTATATATATATATAGACAGGGTATCCTTTTGGAGAAAACCAGTAACATAAACGCTAACTCTACATAATCACTTGCTCCCAGGGTTCAGGGTGTCAGGGGTTCAGGCGTCCGCAGGCTCTGGGAGATGTTTGGGGGGCTTTCGGGGTTTGGTTTCGGGCTTAGGGGTAAGGTTTAGGTTTAGGCCCCGAAGACTAGAAAGCAAAGTCCCAAGGCTTAAACCTGTAACCCTTGCTGGAGCGGGGGAAGGGGGGGGGGGGGTGGTCCAATGGAGGTATCCAGGAAAAGCACTACCCTTCTACGACCTCCCTAAAGTTGAAATACTCTATAACCAAACCCCATAACCCAAATTAAAACAACCTTCAACCCTTCAACTCGAAGAAAACCTAAACCCTAAACCGTATAACACAGAATCTTGGTAGCCCCGTAACCATCTTATATTAAGCGCACCCGTTTTTTGGTTGGCTACTTTATAAGCGGAGTTTGAACCAAAAAAGGGTAAAGGGTATCACTGAGCTGGCAAGGAATGAAACCCTAAAGCCTCAAGAAACGCCGTCCAGCAAAGCCACTCTGGCGATTCAGCATGACCACATGGGCCCCTTTCTTGGCGGCCGTCCTGTTCCATTTCAAAGTAAGGGCGGTTTAGGGTTTAGGGTTTAGGGTTTAGGGTTTAGGGTTTAGGGCTGCGATTTGGAGCTGGCTGGCTTCAATGGAAGCCTTAGAGGGGGGCTTTCTTGTCCCGGCTACGACTCGGGAGGAAGTCGCAGTCAGGAGTTTCGTGTTTCAACTTCGAACATCCGGCGGGAAGGTCGGGGAGGAGGGGGGGGGCGGGCGGGCGGGGGCGCTGGGATTTTCTTCTACTTTTGTTGTATTTTAAATGGTCTTGCTTGCCAACTGGCCCTAGGGTTTCAGGGCTGAGGATCTGGAGATCCTAGGCCCTAAAACCCCTAGGCTTCCCTGAGCCTCTTCCTTTCCCTCCGTCCTGGCTGTGACGAAGCCAGTTCCAGTCGTACAGCCTGTCACGCACACGACCTTGCCGTCGAGGGACGGGAGCTCTTTCTCAAAGTCCTGGAACCTGTGGTGCAGGGTTTAGGGTTCAGGGTTTAGGGCTTGGAGGGTGCGTTGCTGAAAGGGTCAGGAGGAACAATGGAACCCTAAACCCTAAACCCTAAACCCTAAACCCTAAACCCTAAACCCTAAACCCTAAGGGCATTCTTACAGCCACTGCTAGGAGACAAAAACCTTGGAAGCGAGCCGTCGTGAGGAATCGGAGGGCTCTGCTTCTTGCACTCGTTGCCGTTGATCGGGCGCGAAATTTTGGGGCCCCGGTAGTTATTCACTAAGGGTTTAGGGTTTAGGGTTTAGGGTTTTGATAACTACCTAATTCTGGGGTCTCCTGCATCACAGTGGGAAGACTCCTTGCTTCTCTTCCGGCACTTCTGTGCCGGAGCTTTTCAAGACTTGCGAGGGGCCTAAACGCCAGGCTTCATGATCCGAGGTTAGGGCCTAGGGCGCTTAAGGTTTTCGCCGTGTTCATCCCCTCTGACCTCCAACGCAGAGCCCTAGGAATGTCTGCCCCCCCCCCCCCCCCCCAACACCACAGAAAACTTCACCAAGTGCTGGGTTTAGGGCTTAGGCGGCCTAGGTTTAGGGTCTTAGGGCTAGACACTAAACCCCTAAACCCTAAACCCTAAACCCTAAACCCTAAACCCTAAACCCTAAACCCTAAACCCTAAACCCTAACCCTAAACCCTTAGGGTCTTGGCTGAGCATCCTCAGCCCGATGTACACTCTATCAAGGTTTTGGCGCTTAGGGTTTAGGCTTCAGGGCTTCGTTGTCTTCGGCTTCCCGCACAAAGGGCCATGATCCAGGAGAACTGCCCATGAAGTGACGCTGCTCCCTGGGATGTTCCCCCTTATACTAACAGTTACTAACAGTCCTTAATGGTGAGTCCAGTACCCCCTTTAAGAACCCCTATTAAGGGCTGTTAGTATCAGGGGGAACATCCCAACTGACTCACATAGTACGAAGAGATGAAGGGTTTGGACCTGCTCCCCTATCTCGTTGTAGCTGTTGCCGGCTTTCGTACAAAAAAGGCAGCACACGCTTAAGGAACGAAGCCAACATCAACGAGCCAACGAACCCTAAACTCTCCAAGCCCTAAACTCTCTGAACTCTAAACGCTCTAATCCCTAAACTCTAAACCCCAAACCCTCTAAACTCTAAACCCTAAACCTTAGTTGCTGAGTTCATACGCCCCCCAAAAAACGTACACTTTGAGTTCTATAGGGGATTATAGTATCCCAAAAAGTGTAAAGTGTGCTCACTCAGCTACTAAGAAGCTCTCTGAACCCTCTAAACCCTCTAAACCCTCCAAAAAAATCCCACTGCCGCGGAGCCATTGTGTTTCGATCTGGGCCGGGGCCGTGTAGGTCGACCAGGAGCCCCCCATGGATGCGAGGGCGTGACGGGAAAAGGTGGCGGACAACTAAGAGCCAAAACGCTCAGCAAGAAGAGAGCGGCTGACTCAACGGCGGCCAGAGGCCCTTTTTGGGGCAACTGAAGAGCTCGAAAGCTTCCTTGAAGCAATATATCACTTTGTTTCTCACAAGATGGGGTTCTGGGTATGGTCCTTAGTCGATCACCCAGTCTGCCCTCCATGCACTATGCCATCATGTGTTTAAAATTTAGGACGTGGGCTTTCCTCGGGCGAAACTTAGGTGCTTTCAGGTTTAGCTTAGTTGCGTACTTAGGTTTGGGGGGAGAAGGCGTTCTACCAAGTGCAGGGGTTGAAACACGCAAGAACGCACATTGCAAAACCATATTTAGCTGCGCTCAGGAAATATATGCATCCGTACACATGTACATGCTCAAATCTGCTGAAAAAGCGTGTATCGTGCACCGTGTGCTCTAGACAGGCTTGACAATAAGCAGCTGCAATGAGACCGACCCCCCTTTTCACTGGTGACGCTTGGCTCATCTGCAGCCGACGCTAGACCTCCGCAGAAAAAGGCAGACTACACCCGCAACTTGAGATGCGCCCCCTTATACTAACAGTCCTCGGCATTATTAATAAGGGGTACTATGACATCCCAATCCTAAAGGTTTACGGCGAAGGGTTCATAGGGTTTGGACTGCTCTACATTCTGTTCGCCGAGCGTTCCTTCAGCACCTGGACATGCTCATTGACAAGCCCCAAGGGGTCAAAAACTGACATCGGCTCCGTAGACTAGCCCTATACGTGGTAGGCATCTTCTCACAAGGGTGCACTTTGTTGGGTTATACGTGGTAGGCATCTTCTCATAAGGGTGCACTTTTTTTTGGGTTGGCGACTGTATACCCAGAAACCCAAAAAAGGCGCAAAGGGTACCCCGGAGGCTAACAAGTAGAAGGGCCGCTTGGAACTCTCAGGTTGTTTCTTACTCTTGTTTAGGGTTTAGGGTTTAGGGTTTAGGGTTTAGGGTTTAGGGTTTAGGGCCCAACTCCTGCATGCAATGGCAACCAAGCACCGGGCTTTTTCTCGACTCAGCAGCCAAGACAGCCGTGCCGAAGGACAACTTGCGAGCGAGGTCTGCACCCAGGGACTCCAATACCCCTTAATTCATGAATATCTTCCTTAAACTTTATTGGGTTCCTTGTATGGTTTAAGGAAGATTCCTTAATAAAGGAGTATTGGAGTCTCCGGGTAAACCCGGCGCATAACTGGATGAAATCCACTGGTGGCACATGTGCTACCTGGGGTTCTAGAAGCACTAGGCGCTAGCCCGCTTCCTCGCCCTCGTCTTCGCCGTCCGGAGCGCGCACGTCTTCCGACACGTTCTTGGCCTCGAAGCCGAAGGTAAACTCCCGGTCGCTCTTCTCCAGCTTTGCTTCCGGCCCGAGTTTTGCCACGAGGTGGCCATCCTCCAGCTCCACTGTGGCATTGTGCACCTGAGTTGCAGAGTTCCTAAGCCCCCCAAAAAGTGTGCACTTTCACTTGTATATAGGGAATTCCAATATCCCAAACAGTGCATAAAGTGTGCATCTTCAGCTACTAAGGCACAATGAGCGATCCTTGCTTCGAGGCCGCATCGCGACAAGCCGCGACCTGCTCCGGGGTCGTCAGAAGTGTCAGCACGCCGCCGGAGGAGTCGTGCAGCATGGCGGCGGGCGCCTTCTTCCCACCCAAGAGGCTGCACTTCTCCTCGAACCACTTCACCCGCACCTCTACTGAACTTGGAACCCGAGCAAAAATTGGATTTTAGCTGTTTCTTGTGAATTAGGATACCCTAAAAAATAGAAGCTATTCCCAAGTATCCCTGAAAAAAAAAGATTCCCAAGTGTCCTTATAAGGCTAGACTCCCCTTAGAACCTTCATAAAAAAAGTGTTTTTTAAAGTATCCTCTTGGGTTTTACGTGAAGAAAAACAGAAAATAATTCCCAAGGGGGGATATAGAAGGCACGCGGAGGTTCACCTCCATCCCGGGCTTGAGAGCACCGATCTGCTTGGCAGTGGCCCGATACAAGGCTGCCTTCATGGGTTCCCCTTCCTCTGTACTCCCCCCCCCCTTTTGTCCCTAAATAGCCTTTTTGATGGTTTAGGGTTTGGGGTTTGGGGTTTAGGTTTTGGGGTTCAGGGTTTAGGGTTTAGGGAACCTAGAGGTATTGCCTTCTGCTCTGGCGTGATGTCCTTGATGGCAAGGACGATCTTTCCTAGCTTGGCAATCTTGAAAGTCCGCGAACATCTCCGAGATCATGACAAGAAGCAATTTCGAACCCCCTCCCATATAAAGCGAGAATCTCAAGGGTTTTGGGTCTAAACCCTAAACCCTAAACCCTAAACCCTAAACCCTAAACCCTAAACCCTAAACCCTAAACCCTAAACCCTAAACCCTAAACCCTAAACCCTAAACCCTAAACCCTAAACCCTAAACCCTAAACCCTAAACCCTAACCCTAAACCCCAAACCCTCAACCCTTATAGAAAACACATTCCTATAGGGCGCACCAAGTGTCCCTTCTTGTGCCGCCACCCAAACATGCCACCCCGCAGCCGCCGCAGTCTCTCGGCGGGGAGCGACTTCCTTGAGGGGACGCACAGAACCCTCAAAGGGCTTAGGGTTTTGGGTTTAGGGTCTATAGGGTTTAGGGTTTAGGGACTAGCTCCAAGGGCTTGTGGGCCATATGCCCAAGTACTCAGGTAGATGGTCCCACTCATGCTGTCGTCCAGATACCCGAGTAGGAAGTGCAAAACCCCCTGAACTTTCAGCCCCCTAAACCTTAAACCCTAAATCCCTGAATCCCGAAACCCTGAATCCCGAAATCCCTAGACCCTAAACCCAGTCCCTAAACCCTAAATCCCTTACCCCTAACCTAGGTTCCCCCAATAATTAAGGCCATTTAGGTACAACTAAGCCCTAAACCCCAAACCCTAAGCCCTAAGCCCTAAGCCCTAAACCCTGAACCCTGAACCCTAAACCCTAAACCCTAAACCCTAAACCCTAAACCCTAAACCCTAAACCCTAAACCCTAAACCCTAAACCCTAAACCCTAAACCCTAACATGACATGTGGTCCCCAAGCTTCGACCCAGCCCGTAGCAGCCATCGGCACATGGCCCGGCAGCGCGAGAAGGGCGTCGCCACCTCGCTGTAGATGATGACCTTTGTTGGGGTTTAGGGTTTAGGGTTTAGGGTTTAGGGTTTAGGGTTTAGGGTTTAGGGTTTAGGGTTTAGGACCTTGGTCAGGTTGGCCCATTGAAAACAAAGACCCTCTCAAACCAAACCAATGGAAAGGACAACTTGAAACACATGTCCTCAAGGCACTTCATCCCTGCTAAAATAATTACAAAACACATGTGTGTATATATATGTATATGTATATATGTATATACGTATATACGTATATACGTATATATGTATATATGTATATATGTATATATGTACATATGTATATGTGTATATATGTATATATGGGCATGTGCTAGGGAAAACCTTGTTTGTCCTGCCAAACAAATATTTGCATACTATGTAGAGTTGGGGCAACCAGCCTTTTTTTGTTACCCAGGGGGCCGGCTGGCCCCAAACCCTAAACCCTAAACCCTAAACCCTAAACCCTAAACCCTAAACCCTAAACCCTATAACTGGTTTTTGCCCAGGGGGCCGGCTGGTCTTTTCTTCTGAGCACCTCCTTCACCCAGGGCCCCGCCACGCCCGCGAGGCCAAAATCCACGAACTCGCGCATGGGGATGTTGAAAGCGCCATCGATGTGCTCGATCCTGGGAGTTGCTTAGGGTTTAGGGTTTAGGTTTAGGGTTTAGGTTTTAGGGTTTTGGGTTTAGGGTTTAGGGTTTATAAGCTCAGGTAAGTTCTCAAAGAAATGAGAGACTAAGGTTTAGGAGCCTGTGGGTTTTGTTTTTTTTAGCCTATCTCTTCATCTTCTGTGAGCTTTTTTGTTCAAGAGTTGCTTAGAATCAAGGGCTTAGGGTTTAGGGTTTGGGGTTTAGGTTTAGGGTTTAGGGTTTAGGGCTTCAAAAGCATCCCAGGATCTCATACTCAAACCGCTCCCTGCAGTCGATGAAGACGGCCTTGTCCTCCGCGTGGAGTCGCAAACTCTCGGCCATGCCTGCCCCCAGAGCAACCCTACAAAAAGAAGAAAAGATAAGAAAGGTTTAGGGTTTAGGGTGTAGGCTTTAGGGTTTAGCGTTTAGGGTTCAGGGTATAGGGCTTCCAGAGCAACCTACAAAAATCAGAAAGGGTACTATGTGTCGCTTGGGGCCTAGAGAGTGGCTTTTCCCTAAATCTTACCGCTGAATCCTGAAGAGCGGGATCCCTAACTCGTACTCCCTAAATCTTCTTTCCTTAATGCCCTTCATATCCGAAAGCGCTACATACAAAATAAGAAAGGTTAAGAAAGGGCCCCATTTCTGTGTGGCAGGGGGGGGGGGGCTTGCAAGAAAACCAACTTTAAAATTTTCCCCCTTTTCTAACAGTCCTTGATAGGGGATTCTAATCCTAATTAAGGACTGCTAGTATAGGGGGGAACATGCCAAGAACCAACCCTCTATAAAGCAAAACTGAAGAAGCCCCCACTCTGGGCCCCTTGCCTGCCCACCGCACGTCGTTGACATTGCCGCCAGTGCCGTCAGAGATCCACTTCTCGCCAATTTCCTCAAACTCCCCTCCCTCAATCTCCGCCGCCTGCTTCTCGATTTCGGGAACATTCGCTTCCAGCCACCACTCGAAGCGCTCGTCCTCCTCCGCCTCGAGCTCGTAAAGGTTCACCTTGGGCTTATACTTTAATCCCTATTAAGGACTGTTAGTACGTTAGTACTATACTAACAGTCCTTAATATAGGGATTCTAGTACCCCCTATTATAATCCCTACTAAGGACTGTTAGTATAAGGGGGGAACATCCCCCAAGTTCACCCCAAACCCTACACCCTAAACCCTAAACCCTAAACCCTAAACCCTAAACCCTAAACCCTAAACCCTAAACCCTAAACCCTAAACCCTAAACCCCACCTCGTCATCCTTGAGCTTGTTGAGGATGAAGAGCAAGCGCCACTGCTGCTTCTTGTCCATCAAGGTCTCAAAGGCACCGTAAACCTTCCTGCTTAGTGGGTTTAGGGTTTAGGGTTTAGGGTTTAGGGTTTAGGGTTTAGGGAGTTCATCAGCCCCCCAAGAAGGTGTACACTGTCAGTTCTAGGGAGGATTATCGTCTCCCAAGAAGTGTCAATGTGTACTTCTTCAGCAAACGAAGTCCTGAAGCAGTCGACTGCCTGTGGGTGCGCGTTCTTGTCCGGGTGGATGCCAACCTAGGACGGCCCGTTTAGGGTTTAGGGTTTAGGGTTTAGGGTTGAGGAATATTCCTGAATGTCATCCACTTAAAACCAATAAGATAAAAATATCAACATGTCCCACTGGCCTACCGAGCAACGCTGATCCGTCGGTAGGCCCTCTTAATGGTCGTCATGTCGTTCCCGTACCACTTCGCCTCAAGGTTCAGGACCTCGAACTCATTTCTTGCCTCAGCAGTTCCAAACCCTCAATCCGAAACCCTCAACCCAAATTCCACAAACCCGAATCCCCCAAAAACCCTCAACCCTTAAAAACCCTAAACCCTGATCCCCTAAACCCCTAACCTCTAAACCCAAAACCCTAAAACCGAAAACCCTACACCCCTAAAACAAAAACCCCTAAAACCCTAAAACCCTAAACCCCTAAACCCTAAACCCCTCAACCCCTAAACCCCCGAAACCCCCGAAACCCCTAGACCCCTAAACCCCTAAACCCCTAAACCCTAAACCCCTAGACCCCTAGACCCCTAGACCCCTAAACCCCTAAACCCCTAAACCCCTAATTAAACCCCTAAACCCCTAAACCCCTCGGCCCTACAAATCCTGCTACTACCGGTGTCAAGCCGGAGCCTCGTTGCGCAGCTGAGGTGGCACATCAATAATCGGGTTTTTGGGGCTCTAGGTGAACAAGCCTAGGGGTTTAGGGTTTAGGGTTTAGGGTTTAGGGCTTAGGGTTCATAGGGTTCATAGGGTTCATAGGGTTCATAAGGTTCATAAGGTTCATAAGGTTCATAAGCTTTACAAGCTTTGCAAGGGTATACAAGCTCCAAGAAGGCAGTCAAGCAGCTGCCAGGATCCGCTCCACGGCCTTGTCAAAGAAGTGCTGCGGGTCCATCCGCAGGGAGTAGAGTGCCTAGGGGAACAGCTGGGTTTCGGGTTTAGGGTTTAGGGCTTAGGGTTTGGGGTTTAGGGCTTGGGGTTTAGGGTTTGGGGTTTAGGGTTTGGGATTTAGGGTTTGGGGTTTGGGGTTTAGGGTCTTGGGGCTTGGGGTTTAGGGTCTTAAGGTCGAGAGAGGGGATCCTATCCGACAAAGGAAGGAAAAGGGGGCTTACTCTGGGTCCAAGGCTTAGGGCTTAGGGCTTAGGGCTTAGGGCTTAGGGTCTTCCGGGTAAAGAACCCTACCCGAAGAATTTGGAATGAGGGCTGACTATACACCCTGAACCCTCAACCCTCAACCCTTTTCCCTAAACCCTAAAACCCTAAACCCTGGAACCCTAAACCCTAAACCCATATAAACCCTGGGTGCCTCGCGGGCGGCCCTCTCGGCCTCGTTGCCACCGAGGAGGACGATCGCGCCGTCTTCGGCAGCCTGCCGATCCTTTTCCACCTGTGCACCAAGTTCAGGGCCGTTTAGGGTTTAGGGTTAGGGTTTAGGGTTTAGGGTTTGGGGTTTGGGGTTTAGGGTTTGGGGTTTAGGGTTTAGGGTTCAGGGGTTTCGGGGTTTGCAGCTCCGGGTTTTGGGGCTTAGGGCATGGGCTTTTTTTGGGTAGGGAGGGGTCCTTCCTGCGTCAGTGGCCGCTTTGAAGTTTTCAGGTCAGCACATGAGGGAACATATAAACCGTTAAGTACGCCTCTTTTATCGGCAACTTGAGCTTGAGCCAAGGGTAAAGCGATGGTATGCACAGCTCGCAAAAGGAGTGTAATTCCTCCATGAAAACTACACCCCCCTCACCGTGCTTGGCACAAGCTAAGGTGGACAGAGGATTACGACACACCCTTTCGGGTGGCCCATGTTGTCCCACCCGCTATGACCGAAACAAAGGTGAAGGGAAAGCAAAACTTGAGCTATTGTGCATACAAAATGGGCATTCAGCGGCTCCACCACTGCGATCCGCGCTGACTGCTCCAGCGGGATGAGCCCCAACCCTGACTAGCTGGCTCACGCCACTCACGCCACTCGCGCCATTCACGGTCTGACCACCACTGTTCTTGCCCTTGATGCCAGGGTGCTTCACGAACAGCTGTGTCCCTTGATGAGGCGCTCTGCGTCGATGGACGGGTAGTAGTGGCAGCCTCCGTTCGCTGCTGTGCCGTCTCTCGATTCTTGGCGGCGTGGTAGGCGGTGATTCTTTCCTGCTCCTCGGCAGAGTGGATGCATTCGGCTGCCAGCATTTGCAGCTCGGCAATCATGCCTTCCGGCGTTTCATGCTTGATTTCCACAATGCCGTTGAAGCTGTAGATCGTGCGGGCACCGGACAAGCGGGTGGCGATATCGGCATAGAAGCTGAAGCCGATGAAGGCGCCGCCGTAGGCCATCCCGATGGGGTTCTCGGAGAACTGGTCAATCAGTCCAGCCGATTTTAGGCCATCCATTGGCGCATCGCCATAGTAAACCAACTTGCCCGGCATTCCCTTTCGGGAAGCTCCGCTGAGGTAGTTCGACCCCGCCTGCAGAAGCCGCTGCTCTTCTGTGCGGCCTGGGTCCGGGAGCACGGCCTTCACCAGGAGGTCCATTCGGCACGCATCCTGAACCGTGATCCCGTTCCTCATCATCTGCAGGAAGAAGGTGGCATCACGTTCCAACCGATCAGCAATGGAGTCGAACTTGAGCTTTCTCGCACGTTGGAACTTGTCTTTGGCATCGCGTATGATCAGCGCATCCAGGGAGACTGAGCCCCGCTGTTTGCTGAACTTTTCTGCGATGCCACGGAGGTGTCCCAGGAGATCGTCATTCCGAGCATTGTACGTCAGCTTGAGGAGTGTGGTGCGACGGTTTTGCTGGAACGAGGAGTACTGACGGCTTGCCTTGTTGGACTCCGGGAACTGGTTTTCACCGCATGTCATGCAAAAGCGCTGCCCAAGCAGGACGATGCGTTGGCAGGCCGAGCATGGATAGCTCCCGTATGGGGCTTCGCTGTCGCTCTCTGCCTCTTCCGTGTCGGATACCTCCTGTGCAGGCTGCGTTTGGTCATCCACCGATTCCTCGTCTTGCTCTTCAATGGATTCCAACGCAGCAGCCTCGATCCTCGCCTTCTTTGCCTCGATGAAAGCGCCAACAGTGCCCTTGACTCGCTTGGGTTGGTCTTCTGGGACAGCCCTTGACGCCAAGGCTTTGACTGTTGAGCTCGAGGAGGCTTGTTCAACAGTATCCGGCTCACCCTCTCGGGTGGCTGCAGGCTGGGCCTCTCCCGCTCTTGCGTAGATCACCTTGTTCGTGTTGGTGTCCACACATGACAGGATATACTGAGGGCCAACGACTGCACGGGTCAAGATCCCGCGGGTACTGTTCTCGAAGAAGACGAGGCCATCTCGGAGGGCTTCATGCAGGTTCACCGCAATCTGGAACGGCTGCGTCGACCTGAGTCCAGAAGTGTACTTCTCGTCCTTGAGGGTGGTAGGTGAGAAGTACGCATGGGCACGCCCGCCCTTTCTGCCGCCAGCAACCTTGATCCCGGATTTCAAAATCAACTCCACGCTCTTCGCATCCGTGCGGTGGTATATGACCTGTGGAGCGACATCCAAATTCTCATCGGTGAGAAACCTCCGGGCAAGGAACTCGTCTGACTCGATGCGCATCACTTTCTCCGAGTGGCCGGTGACTGCTCTGATCCGCACAGGAAAGAGGGAGAGATTCAGGCTGCTGCTGATCTCGTGTCGGATCCCAAGAATCTCGAACCTCCTCTTTTTGTCCTGCGCGGTCACCTGCAGTAGCTGTCTTACGCCCCATTTTCGACGAGTTGCTTCATTGAAGCGGTCCAGGAGCTTATCGACATCCGTCCACATGGCGATGTCGAAGTCCAGCCCATACCAGTCATTCTGGTGTCCCCTCAAGAGCAAGCTGAGCAGCTTGAGGTCGCCGTGCCTGAAGTTCACCCGCTGTTCATACTTGCGGAGATCGGCACTTGGCAGAGGCTCAAGGTCATGGAGCTCCCCGTTGTACCAGTAACCGGTCATCGGGAGGTCCTGCTCCTGGCTTTCCTCTCCACCATGGGTTTTGGACGCGTCCTGGTACATCTCGCGGGCGTAGACATCCTCGCTTTGCCCCGACGACTTACCCTTTCGGGTAGCTGCGCTTGTTGCCCGGCCGTCTGACACCAGGGGAGGTCGGTAATCCCCATCATCGGCGAGCACGACCTCGTTCAGGGGAAGGTACTCAGCCTTCTCTGACTCGGCCTGGACGACCTCACCCTTGACCTCATCGATCTCCGATACGTCCGAAACCACAGGGTATTCCACCTCGGATCGGGCGATCGTCTTGTCTTGCTGAGCGGGTGCGGCAACTGGTTCATGCGCAGTGTTAGCGTCGGGGACCTCCCACCAGGTGTCTTCCTTGCTGATCTTCACGGGCACAGGCGCCTTGATCTTGTGGACCTTCAGGTCTTTTCTGCCACTTTCAACCACCTCCTTGTAGAGGCGTAGGGCTTCACGACCTGCTGCACTGTCCATCCTGTAGCCGCCTTCCACCTCGACGTAGGGGAAAAGATCTCCTAGTCGATCCAGAACATCTGCATACCGTGACGCTTCCCTTTCTAGGTCGCCAAGGAGCGCCGTGGTGTAGATGTAGTCTTGGATCTGCTTGCGGTTTTCGGGGGTATCCCAAAGATGAAAATCATCGTAATAGGACAGCTTCATTGCCTGGGATGTGGCGTTCTGAACTTGCAATCCGCGACTCGTGAATTCATCAAACATCTTGGAGATGAATTCATTGTACGCGGGATGCAAGTTGTAGGTCTCGTGGTCAACGTTGCCGACGATGCGGACAAACCCGATATGCGGCTCACCCGCTAGGGTGGCTAGCGCGTCGGCGCAGCGCCTCACCTTCCTCGCAACATCTTCTGCCGAGGTCTGGGAGGTCGAATATGCCGCGCCCGGAGCGAGCCGCGTGGGGATGCATCCTCGTCGTCCAGCAACTTCATTTCCTGACCACCAAACGATCACATCGATCTCGCACTCCGACCCATACTTGGCACGGATTGCCTGGATCTCCTCCTGCACCTGCCAAGTGAGCCACGAAAGCGTTTTTCCCCAGCACATGTGGAGTTTATCGCTCGTGTACCTGAGGGTCAGTGCTGCCATGAAGATCTCCTCTTCGGGAATGGAGAATTTCCATTGCCCCTTGGTGTTCTGTCGCCCAAGGGATGTGACTGAGTCCGTCACCACTAGCAGAAAGCGACTTCGGCGCAACCTTTCGGTTGGCTGGAGCTTGCTGAGACCCTCGTTCGAGATGCGAGCCAGCTTAAGCAGATTCGGCGTTGGAATCTCGGGGTCATTGAGGCTGAGGCTGGCGATGGTCTGTGGGGGGAAGACCTCATAGGACTTGAGGAGCGCGTCATACTCCTTCCCCGCCTGGAGCTGCAAGTACTCCACGCTCAGTCCGGCGTTGACGAGCATGTTGAGATGTCCTTGCAGTGCCAAAGGTCGGCCCTCCATGCCAGTATCGCAGGAGTAGCCCGCACCATGGGCGACCAATCGCGACATTGTTCCTAGTGCCTCAATACTGCTGACCACTTGGAGAGAGCCAGCTAGCACAGAGAGAGTCGGTACAGCAGGCTCAACCGAAGCACTTGTGCACGTGGTGTATGTTTGTGCGTTCCCGATCGATGCGCGCAAAACCGACGCGACCGTTTCGGGAGTGGTTTTGGGACTTTTACCCCCCTCATCGTGAGGGGATGCACATGAACAAACGCACGCATGTTTCAACTGAGCCCGGGGCGTCCTAAAATCAGTGTCTTGTAGGAGTTGCTTGTCATCGTCACCCAGCTTTGTCCACCCCCCTGATGAGTAGGCAATGAGAGAATGCCTGTTTCCTGTAAAGGGTTGGACAGCATGTCGAAGGTGAGGGTTTAGGAGCACGGGTTTTCGACAAGTTTGAAGGTTACGGCCAAACCAGGTCTTACCGTCTTTGTCAGTGAAAGCGTCCATTCTTTGGTCGGGATCCTCCACCCAGAGCTCGCCCCCCTGATAGGGACCGAAGCCGAAGGACCAGTTTTGGCTGCCTCTGAGATTAAACTTGTCGCTGTGAACGCCAGCCCTGCCCATAAAATTGATGACAAACGAAGTCCAGGTAAAATGCTTTGGAGCGTGCTTGCGGATGAAACCATTTATGTAGCGGCACAGTTGGGACATTTGGCCAGTACGCTTTGTTAGGCCGAAGCACCCACCATGTGTCCACAGCCCAAACACGAAGTATTTGGGAGCCAACTCGGTGCCGGAACGAACAACACTGCGAAGTCTTGAGCTCGACATACGAAGGTTGTCGTACATCATTTCGGCGACCTGCTCGAAATCTTCGAAATCATAGCGATCAGCTCGGCGAAGCAGTTTTGCAACGTGTTCCAGTTGCTCTGTGGTAATGCACACCGACTTCGGAGCAGCGGGAACAGATTT